GCCAGAGGAACAGAGACTCCTCACTTTGGATATCAGGCTCTGTCAAAGACTTCACCTCGGTCTTAGGACTAAGTTTACATACAGTATTTTTACTGTTTTAAGAAATTCCCATTATGAGATGGTATCATTAAAGCAGAAACTCTCCTCGCTCAGATGCAGCAACATCCAGACAAAGGTGCCTTTATGTAGGTGTTGCACCTTCCTACAAATTTATGGAACCAGTCAGGTAGAAGCCCCTTTTTACAGGTACAACCATTGCTGTGCTCCAAGCTCGTATCTCTACCCACGAGGCTCCCAAACATGAGGGAGTAAAGCAATACAGAAACAACATGCAGAGCTGCCTGAGCCACTCTGCTTTGCTCAGCAGAGACCTCCTAAGCCCCTCTATGGTCACCAGATGGATAAACATGCAAGGGGATCATGGCTAGCACTGCTTTGAAGCAGTGGAAAGGCAGACAGAAGGCTGGTTTTGGGGGACCCTGCAAGCAAGGCACTCTCCAAAGGTCAGTTTTGCCTGAGCTGTGCTGAGGTGTTTGCACTACAAGGCCACCATATGCCACCAAAGCAGTATGAATGAAGTTATCCAGAAATATAAACCTAATCCTGGTTTTGTTACTCCTGCCCAGCATACACCAGCAAGACCATACTAAGCCTTTCTAATGGTTTCGTTCAGAGGAGGACTTCTGCTGTATCAGATAAAAATTCAGCTATTCCCAGGACACCAGGGACAGCCTCTCTCACTGCACCAGGGGCCAGTCCTTGTTTGTTCTGGATATCAGGACAACTGATGCAATTATGACCAGTGGCCAGTTCCTGTGGAGGCTTCCCTGTTTAGAGACATCAGCCCCAGACCTCCTTCACCAGGACATGGGGGAACTGAGCAACAGCCAAACCAGCAGGAGAAACTCAGCCTCTGATTCCTGGCTTCTTCTACCATATTTATAGTTTTAAGTTTCGTGTTAGCAACTCAATTAATAATTTTAATTAGAATCGCTCAGAAACTCAAAGCTGAACAAAAACATGAACGTGGGTTCTCGTCTCTCAGACCCACCAAAGCTCCTCCTTTCCTTAATTCCCTGATGAGGAACAGCATTGTGCCAGGTCTGCAGTGGAACACAGGACCGTTTCAGCCCACGAGGAGTAGGGGGGTTAGGGCATTAACCCATTTTCAAAGCACCTTATGGGAATTCTGAATTCCCCACAGGAATGGGAAGACCATTTTAAGATGAATTGACCTGAATTGTCTCCCTCCAACGATTTTCCCTTTATCTAGTTGGAGGAAGCAGGGAAGGAGGAAGGGAAATCCTAACAGAGCTACTTTCTCTACAGAAGGAAGATGTTCACATCATAGTCCACTGGCATTTGGAAAAGCACCTTGGGATATCCCTAAGTAACATCAAACGTTGGTTTGATCAACTCATTTCAAAGCCTCAGCTCTGATTACAGTTGATGAACCAAACCAAGTAGTACCTCCCACCTCTCTCCTGCAGCAAAAGTCACTGCAGATTTGTCATACCCCAAGGCTGTTAAAGCAGCAAGTCTTGTTATTAGAAGTCTGCACAGGTTCTTTGATGTCACCAAATCCATAAACATCATCTATAATGAGTGGAAAAGAAATGTTACATTACATCTATTACAAACAGGATGACAGGGCAGAACAGCCTGTGTCAATGTGGTTTTGTGGGGCATGGGAAGGTTTTATTTCTCTCCCAGAGCCTTCAATTCCTGTTTTAATACATCCAAGGAGAGCTGCTCCTTTTACTTCTCACCTGATCTATTTTTTGAGACGGCTTCTTAGAAGAAGGGCACACAAGCCAGGCACTGTACTTTTTCTAACTCTCAGCTAGACCTTTGATTTGGGCCAGCAAGGAAGCTTGTTAGATCTGATCAAGCAACTAAGCATCTCTGGAAAATGCTATTAAAAGAACATGAAACAAATGAAAAGCTGGGACAGACTTAGTGGTAAATACATTGGCCTGACAGCTCAGCACAGCTACATCCTGTTTGCCATTATGATTTAATACTGGCATCGATTGGTTGAAGGATGAGACAGACCAGGCAATTCTCTCTGGGGTTCACTTGAGCACCATTTCACTTTCAGATTTAACCGACCCACAAGCTGGGGAAATTTTAATTACTTGATTTAATGTCAGGGACTGCTGTAGTCAAGCAGTAAACAACACCTCTCTGATCATCTAAGGGGACACACCAACTCCCCACTAGCCATCAAGCAGTGCCCAACACCAGGTTAGAGCCAGTACAGCATGAACCTGCTCCTCTGGAATACCAGCCTGCACAGCACTATCCCACATGCTGGCAGGATAAGCTCCTCCTATGGAAACAGCTGTTGTCATGGCTCAGGCTCTTTGGAATCTTTACATTAATTTTTCCAAGACCCCACATAGGCTTTTAACAATTTACACCAGCTATCCATTTCACAACAGTGCCACGTGGATATCAAGGGAAGACTGAAGAGTAATTACTTCCACAATAATCTCGTTAGCTGCTCCCCTTTAATGGTAGAACAAGGCTAGTGACAAAGAGAAGGGGTTAAACTCAGCCACCACCTTCCTCAGGTGTGCTGCAACCAAGGCAGCAATACTCAGTGGGACCAGAGAAAGGGAAGGTGATTTTTCTTTTTAAGACTGATTTCATCTACTCATTCTTTTGTGCCCATTCTTGCATGTTCATATTCTCACTATCACCAAGACACATGTTTCAAAGTGGCCCAGTGAGGACTGCCTGCAGTGACACAGAGGGTAAGTCAAAGAATCACAGACTGGTTTGGGTTGGAAGGGACCTTAAAGACCACGTAGTTCCACCCCCCCTGCATGGGCAGGGACACCTCCCGCTAGATCTGGTTGCTCCAAGCCCCATCCAACCTGCCCTTCAACACTTCCAGGGAGGGTCTTCATCATGCCACTGATTCATCCTGAGTGGTGAAGACACCATATGATATTTACAGTCATTATACACTCCCTTACTGCAGGCAGATCTAAGTCTGATGGAGCTGCATCACACTGTTGTTGCTCCACATCTGCCCTGTGATCTCACTTGAGGTATGGCTGCCACCAGCACTCATTCCTTCTGCTGCCACAATTCTTCTCTGCTCTCCTCATGCTGTTCTCAGCCTCCTGAAGTGCCACATAGACACCCTTCTTCACCACAATGATTTCCACACAGAACCATCTGTCTTCCAAAGTTCTCCACAAGCACTGAGCAGTCCCCACAGACACTGGGTATTTAATTCCTCTTTGATATACAGTGCAAACAAAAGGCTGATTTGGCCAGCAGTTTATTCCCAAGTTGTGTCTAGCATGGAAGGTCACTTCAAGTAGACCAGATAAATTGTCTTACAAACAGCCTGCTGATCCCTGGCTGAAAATCTGTGGCTACACATATCAGTTTCCAACCTCTGCCTACCTTTACAACTAACCATTACTCTTTCCATCACCACCACCACCTAAATCTCTTTCTCAGAGGCAATTGCCAGGAATTTGCAAGCAGGGTCATGGCAAAACTAATTATGCAAAGATGAAGATGGAATATCTTTGAGTAAGGGAAGCTCCCTTCCCTGGCTGGGAGATGTGCAGCACCTTGTGTGTACCTTGCATCAGCAGCACAGTTGAAGGAGTTGCAGGCGGGTGCAGCTGAGGGGCTTTTCATCAGAGAAGATAGTGACAGGACAAGGGGTAATGGTTTTAAACTGAGAGGGGAGATTTAGGTTAGATATTTGGAAGAAATTATTCACTCTAAGGGTGGTGAGGAACTGAAATGGGTTGCCCAGGGAGGTTGTTGATGCCCCATCCCTGGAGGTTTTTAAGGCCAGGTTGGATGAGGTTTTGTGTAACCTGATCTAGTGGTTCCCTGCTCATTGCAGGGGGGTTGGAGCTTGATGATCTTTAAGGTCCCTTCCAACCTTAATGATTCTATGAATAACTTGGAGCATGGCTTTCGCAGAGACTGAGCAGCTGTCCTGGAACTGGATGTGGGGCAAAGCTGCAAGGGAACAAGAGGAAGGACTGAAAGCTGCTCCCCATTTTCTACAAGTTCTAACAAGCATTTGTATTTTTGTCTTTGACAAGCAGACATGAAACCCAGCCTGTCTTGAGGAGAATTCAGCTCTCTCTCAAGAAGCAAGCCAGCAATTTGTCTTCTCAACAGCCATTTTGACACCATTGGAGGGAAAAAGAAGTAATTTTTCTGCTACTCTTTAGCTTCTTTCTTAATTAGAGTAAGTAAATTCCTTGGGACTATTGATAAAAGGTAAACTTTGCATCCCAGCTGACAATGCAATTAAAAAGAGTTGGAAATTGCCCAAAGCAGCCTACTGGTATAAGAACAGCACCACAAAACTGCTCAAGGAGCCACTCTATGGAGCAATTAACAAGCATTTCCACAGAGAACAAGTTCTTACAGCCATTGCTAACAAGACTGAAAGTCCTTGTCTCCAGATGACATAGCAGAGGCTCAAGCTTCAAAGTGCCAGCAACATTTTGTTCAAGCCAACAATAATTGACAAAAATCTTTCCACTCATTCCAACAGGCTTTGGCTAAGGTCCCTCACACACACACACAAATCTTTCAAAACAGCCAGGAACAGCATCCCAAATAATTGTTTCAACTCCCAGCTCCTGCCATACTCCAGCCTTCATCTACAAAATAAATACACACAGGTTTAACAATGAAGAATATTTACTTTCCTTCATTTGATACATTCTGTAAAGTGCTGAGTTTCTAAATTATACTGAGTTAAAATGATACATTGCTCTAGTATTTTAAATACAATAAATATAGAATGAGCTGCGTGCAACTTCACTTGCAAGTTTTACTCTTTCTTTTAAGTAGAGATACTAAATTTAGTAATCAAAATAGTACTCCATGAAAAACTAGTATGAAGTTATAAATATAACCAGACCCTTCAAAGATCTCCTACACACTTCTCCTGTCCACATTGCACGGGTAAGTCTAGTGTTCCTCTGAGCATATGGAATGAAGACAAATAAGGAAGCTGAAAATTACCTAACAATAAAACCACAAAACCCTACCAGTTAATGCTCCTTACACCCTCCATAAACAGTCTGTTTTCTACCTTTAATCTTGGTGCATACAACCCAGTTTGGTTTTTTTTCCCCACCATTAAAAAACTCTTCCAGAAAGGACGTCTTGCAAGATATGGGTTGATTCATCTTCATCTTGATCCTTTTTACTGCAAAGTGGAAAAGATTCTTGAACAAACTGCCTACACATTGGACACTGCTGAAAATACTTAATGCAGCCATCACACAAGCACGTGTGCCTGCAGGGCAGGAGCACCCAGTTCACTGTGCCATTCTGGCAAACCACACAGTCTTTGCTGTTTTCTTCATGCAGTTCTGGTTCATCTTCAGCCAATCCAGCCTTTTCTAGCAAGCTTCTGTCAGTGCTTCTCTCACCAGGGGATGTATGGCCTGAAGATGGTGCAGGACTATTTGCAGACATGAAGAGTTGCTAAAATACACATATACACAAACATTTAGAAGTCAACAAACTCTCCCCTAATACTGGAACACATGCATGTGATACAAGTTCCACTGGGTCAGATTCACTGGTTTCCAGTGGGTCAAACAGTGCCAGAGACACTCTTTGCATGAGTCCTGACAGTTGTCTGGCCTTCAGTTAAAGGTACTTCAGAAACATAAAATTACATAAAACACTGGGAAGATATTAAGGATAAGTCATCACATCTTAGCTGAATCAAATCAATGGACATGAATGAACTTGAACAGAACTACCCAGGATTTGAGCAGTTCAGGTTTCTGTTCCTGGTATCCCATTCTCTCTGCCTAGAGGGATGCTTCTGTCCATTCCTACCAAAAATATACCCACCAAGCTGTCAAATCTACTTCACTCAACCTTCACTCTTGCTCATATTAAAATCCCCTGCTCCTTTTTGTCTTATTTTATGTGAAGCTCAAATTCTTCTGGGCATGATCTCTTAATAAAGCCAGTAAACTACCACATAGCCAAAGATGCTCAGAGAGAACACACAGCACAACTACACCAAATGCAGCTGCACTGTTATTTATCTTCAGTTTAAGCAGTGTTTTGACAACACTAACCAGTCATGACAAGAAAGCTTCAGGGAATCAATAAGGAAGTTTACCTGGATCAATTAAGTCAGCAAAAACAGCCAGGACAAACATTTCTTTGGACAAATCCATTTCTGAATGAATGCTAATTGAGTCAATAGAATTAATTGCTTAGCAATACCATATGTTATTTTTATTTTCACAAATAACACAGAATCCCATCATCAACTGCCTGACAGACACAGCACAAAGATGGTCCCAACAACATGCAGAAAACTGGACTGGAATGCTGAGAACATTGGTTTAACTTCTAATGCTAGGTGCTAGGCAGATTCCTTATCTCTGTGCATGTGCTGTGGCAAAAAGGAATTTAAAAAAGCTTCCTCTGAGGCTTTCCCAATGAAGGGAAGTAGAGGAGAAAGTGCTGGTTTGAGAGATCAGGAAGGAGGTAACATTCTGTAGAGAGGAAGCATTCAACAGCTAGTTCATGTTTACTACTGCCATAATAAGTGGACAGAACCTAGGCCTCCTAGACTAGAATCAATTAACTTCTTCAGGAAATCTTAATTATTTCAATATAAAATATTTCTGTGCAGTAACTTGGGCTGCAGCTACTTAATTTTAGCTGTTCTCCAGTTCTTTGCATGACAATGAAAGAGTTATAGCAATTTTAGGCTCCTGAAAGCCAACACAAACTGAACTTAACACTGTCACCCCAATGAAAGATGACTCAGTACGTGGCTTACCTTCAGATCGTGGAATTGACCTTGAGCTAGAAGTAGGTACTGATATAATATTCTGCAGGGAAGTCTGTAGCTCTCATCAGGAATGTGAATTACAGCCACCATTGAAATCTACCAGATAAAAAAACCCTACGTTTAATGACTTGCCTTTTCATGATATGATTCATAAAGAACAGTTTGCTTCAAAGAGGACACACTTTGTTACAACTGCTGACATTGCCTTAGACAATCAGAACTTCAGTGTTAACTTCAAGCACAGATTAAAAAAAAAAATAAAATAGGCTGGATGAGGTAAAAACAGGACGTGGCACAAGACAGCACTTTGAGTCTGCCCAGGGTCTCCATGGAGCCCTTCTGTGGCTGGTTTAGGGCAGAGACCCACTCTGACTGCTCTCACCTAATGGAACTGGGCCCCTAAGCAAAAAGAGACCTAAGCACATGCAGTCATAGAGTCACAGAGTGTTCAGGGTTGGAAGGGACCTCTGGAGTTCTTCTAGTCCAACCCCCCTGCTAGAGCAGGATCCCCTAGAGCAGATCCCACAGGAACACATCCAGGCAGCTTTGGAATGTCTCCAGGCATGGAGAATCCACAGCCTCCCTGGGCAGCCTGTCCCAGTGCTCTGTTACTCCCACAGTAAGGAGATTTTTCCTTATATTTAACTTGAACCTCCTGTGCTCCAGCTTGTGCCCATTGCTCCTTGTCCTGTCATTGGACACCGTGGAAAAATGAGTGGACCCATCCTCCTGACACCCCCTGTAGATATTTATAAGCATTGATGAGACCACCTCAGTCTCCTCTTCTCCAGGCTGAACAGACCCAGGTCTCTCAGGCTTTCCTCATAGGGCAGATGTTCCAGTCCCCTCATCTTTGTGGCCCACTCCTGAAGGTCCCAGATGTGCCTTGAAGAGGCTACTTGCACAATGATTTCAACTAGAAGTAGCAGCTCCTACAGTCCTCTGTCAACTCTACTAATCACAGAATCACTGAATTGTCAGAGTTGGAAGGAACCTCTAGAGATCATCTAGTCCAAGCCCCTGCTAAAGCAGGATCCCCTAGAGCACATTCCACAGGACTGCATCCAGGTGGGTCTGGAATATCTCCAGAGAAGGGGACTCTACAACCTCCCTGGGCAGCCTGTCCCAGTGCTTTGCAACTCATGATGAGCTCCTACTGGGTATGAGAGAAGCTGACAAACTCAAGGAGTTTGCCCACAGCAGCCAAGCCCCAAGGAATTTCATGCACTGAAATCCCATTCAACATCTGCAGCCAGGTCCCAGGCTCTCCTCAACACAAGCAATGAGGCTGTCAGCTGAAATCTGAGGGCAGAACTACAGGGGAACATGTAAAAGGCAAAGTCTTCTCTACTTTCTCCCAATTCCCTCACAAACATAAGTTTTTTTAGACTGTGAAAACCATTTAGAAGTGTGGCTGACTGGCCCTAGAGCAGATCCCACAGGAACACATCCAGGCAGCTTTGGAATGTCTCCAGGCATGGAGAATCCACAGCCTCCCTGGGCAGCCTGTCCCAGTGCTCTGTTACTCCCACAGTAAGGAGATTTTTCCTTATATTTAACTTGAACCTCCTGTGCTCCAGCTTGTGCCCATTGCTCCTTGTCCTGTCATTGGACACCGTGGAAAAATGAGTGGACCCATCCTCCTGACACCCCCTGTAGATATTTATAAGCATTGATGAGACCACCTCAGTCTCCTCTTCTCCAGGCTGAACAGACCCAGGTCTCTCAGGCTTTCCTCATAGGGCAGATGTTCCAGTCCCCTCATCTTTGTGGCCCACTCCTGAAGGTCCCAGATGTGCCTTGAAGAGGCTACTTGCACAATGATTTCAACTAGAAGTAGCAGCTCCTACAGTCCTCTGTCAACTCTACTAATCACAGAATCACTGAATTGTCAGAGTTGGAAGAAACCTCTAGAGATCATCTAGTCCAAGCCCCTGCTAAAGCAGGATCCCCTAGAGCACATTCCACAGGACTGCATCCAGGTGGGTCTGGAATATCTCCAGAGAAGGGGACTCTACAACCTCCCTGGGCAGCCTGTCCCAGTGCTTTGCAACTCATGATGAGCTCCTACTGGGTATGAGAGAAGCTGACAAACTCAAGGAGTTTGCCCACAGCAGCCAAGCCCCAAGGAATTTCATGCACTGAAATCCCATTCAACATCTGCAGCCAGGTCCCAGGCTCTCCTCAACACAAGCAATGAGGCTGTCAGCTGAAATCTGAGGGCAGAACTACAGGGGAACATGTAAAAGGCAAAGTCTTCTCTACTTTCTCCCAATTCCCTCACAAACATAAGTTTTTTTAGACTGTGAAAACCATTTAGAAGTGTGGCTGACTGGCCTGTAAACTGGGTAGGCAAAAGACAAGTTTCACTGGAAAGGATTATGAAAGGACCCCATGGGCTGCCTCCAGAGTCACTGTTCTGAAAAAGAAAGGACTCCCAGCTTGCATGCTGTGCCTAGAACCCTTCACCCTGCCCAAATTATGTAATAGCCTCTAAAAAGCAGGAAAATAAGAAAGTGAAATTCAGTATTACTGTAGTTCCCAGAAGCTGTCAAAAGAGAAAAGAAACATAGAAGAAAGCTGTTTTGTTTAAAAGATTTTTTGAAAGACAAATCAGACTTGCACTTTAAAATCAACCCTGTGGCTAACTACATGCTAGGCTTAAATATATATATGTACCTATACATGTGTATTTACAGTAACTGAATTTACTATTATTTGGCAATAAGGTCTTTTTTCTAAATCACAATATCTCAAAAAACCCACAAGCCTGAGATCTGAGTCTTTTTCCACTTCAGCCCTGCCAGTCTCCAAGTAATTTCTGTAACTCTCGTACCTGGTCACACTAATTTTCTGGAGTGAGGGGAAAATTATGGCAAAAAACCAAATAGGTATGATCTGGCCATAAATACAGTTAGGATGAAAATTAGACCCCTCAGAAAAGAGCTATTGGAGCACCATCCATAGGGATAGAGGCACAAACAAAAAGATAATTGAAGATGGAGCACCATGCACTGATGTAAGAAACTGCACCACCCCTTGTGTTATCATCATACAGGCCACAGTGGCAAAGATCCTTTTCCACACTGTTTTTATATTTTATAAGTTTGTTTCAACAACAGATGCAATTCTGACACTTGTCTGGGAAGGAGTTCAGGTGAAGTTACTCCTTTGACCAAGAAACTGTTGTTCTTTTAGCCAAAAGAAGGGGAAAAACACCTCTCCCACCCTCCTTCCATTCTTTTCTTCTATATTAAGAGAGAGGTGATACCAATTTATCTCCCTGCCAATATCAAACACATTCAAATATGAAATTTATAGTATCTTTATAGTAAATTAATCTAAAATCTAAACATACACAGATGTACTAACCTAGGAAATTGCTGGAGAGGGGAAGTCTCAAGTGGGGACAGGAGGGAGGAAGGCAGTCCTAAGTGATGAGAAGCCAAGGTCAGGCATCACTTGGAAAGGGAAGGGATTTCTTAAGCACTAATGCGATCACAAACAATTTCCAGAGGAACTTATGGAAAAGTTTGCAGTGGATTTAGGCAATTCGCTTCCAGGCTTATTTGTATCACTTAAGATCAGATTATCTACCAAATGAAAAGATGAGAGAGAAAAGGGTGTCCCAAATAGTTCCAAAAAGGATCAGTCAAGTTTGAGTACAAATTAAGAGTTTAGCAGGGATATTGAACTGAAGGTGACCAGGCTGAAGCTGTTCTATCAGCAAGAGATTAGGAGGAGACATTTTTGGGGAGCTGAGTATCTCTTATCAGTCTGCAGCAGAACTTTCACACCTTCCTGTAAATGACTTGGAGCTGAGAGGCATCATGTGCTGCATTACCCAGATTCAGGCCTGTGGCAGAAAGGTAATTTCTATGTTCCTAACAGTCAAGTCAGCAATCAGCTCAAATATCTGTGCCAGACACTTGAAAAAAATTCTCCTCCTCTGCCAAGAGCAATCCAAAAGGACCATATCAGCACAAGAGCTCCACTGCAGCTTTGTGTGACCAGAAAAATCAGAGTAACAGCTTACCAACCTACTCCAACCCTAGTTCATCTGACCACAAGGACCTTTGCAGATAGGAGCTTTGTGAAGACCATGAACGTCTTGAGCAACCTGGTCTGGTGAGAGGTGTCCCTGCCCATGTAGGGGGGTTGGAACTAGATGATCCTTAAGGTCCCTTTCAACCCAAACCATTCTGTGATTCTATGATCTTTTGAATGGCAAACATCATTTTTACCTAACAATCATCCTGACTCTCCTCCCATGCTCCCCTGGAGTCATCAGTGACAAAGTTAGGGACCATATTCGGGGGGTGGGAGGGCAGGGAAAGGAAGTTGTTGTGTTCAAGTCTGTCTCTTGAAACATTCAGAGCTTCAACACAGTGACCGTAAAATACACTCTTATGTTACTTACAATATCATAGATTTCTCTGTCCTCTTCATCAGCTAACGTCAGCAGGGCTACCAAGGGATAGCGAGATCTGGGCACTGGGCCAAAATCAACAACTTGAGCATCTTCTGGTAACTGACAGTATTTTTCTTCCTTGTCATTTTTTTTAATGCTTCATGTGTGTCAAGGAAAACAATCAGTGTCTCTGCAATCCTACACCAATGTGATGTTTGCATAAAGAAGATTTTTTTTTCATCCTATTTGTTCAGAAATACATTGTGCCAAGAGCTGCCGAGTGTTCACACGTCTCAGCGCTCCCTGTGCCAAAAAAACAAAAAGAGCATATTTTGTCAAAACAATTTAAAATTAATTAAAAAAAGGATACAAGTACTGCTGTCGATAGAGGTATTGGCTGTACAGAGCATCCTCCAAGGCCTGAGGGGTCTTTATTCTGAAGCAGTAGACATGTTTCTGCAGCGCTTCCTGGAGTTTTTGAACACTGCAGCCCCAGTAGCACGTAAGAATACAGTCTTCCAGACAATCTGGTGTCAGTGTTACACCCTCTTGTAAGAAAGGAGATAAGGATTTCATTAACTCACCAACGTGCAGGCATTCTGCAACTGCAAAGTGAAAGTTCTTAAAGGGCAACAGGCAGAAAACAACTTCAGCGTCCTGGATTTTTATCACAATCATCTAATCTTCTAAGAATTTAGATTAGGTTTAGTGCTTATCAAAGTCTGTGGAGATGAGGAGGTGGATTTGCAGAGATAAAATGGCTGATGAAGCTAACAGAAGTAGCACGTGCATCTCAGGAAAGGTAATTTGTAAACTTCTGGTAACATGTGACACACTGGCTGGCAGACCCAAGAGCACAGCCCCTAGCCCAAAGTTCATTCCCTCTTGAGATAACGGTATTCATTGTATCACTGGCCTACAACACCCCCTCTGGTCTCAAAGAATAAGGTCCTTTTGATCCTTCAGAGGAAGGATATAAAGAGGATCAATGTGCTTCTTTTCTGAAAATCAACTACCCTGCCCATGAACTTCTAAACACTTATTGCACTAACAGAAGCTGAACTTTTTTGAGAACTCCCACCACATTCAAGTGCTCAAACCTCCTGGGAAATGCAAGTTATCTGAAGACTAAATTGTTGGCTTGGTTGGTTTGCTTTTTTGTTGCTGTTTGGTTTTTTTTAATATATTGAGGGAAGGGTAAAATTGCTGCAGCCTTTTCCTCATTCACAGGAAGGCTCCACACCTCTGTTGGTGGAAGATGCTCAGCCTTGCCTACGCAGGAAGGCAGAAATTTCACTTCCTGTGTCAGTGATTTAAAGGCTGTTAGGACCTGGTTGAACTATGATCCAAACAGTTATTTAAATTCAGTTTTCACTGAAACACAGATAAAAAGAGAGGGATATTATTTATTTGTTAGAAGTAGTGCACTTCCAAGGCCCACTGGAGAGCTGGACTCCAAGTGAAGTGGGTAGCATATATTCTATGGTGAATTCTATAGAATTCTACAATTTGGTATAGTTTACAAAAATGCTCACAGCTGCTGGCAAGCTGCAAATGTTTTTGCTACTTCAAAATCTGTTCTAGCAGGAAGTGTTTCATTAATAAGAATCAACTGTACTTAAATACCCAAACATTTCACATTCAAAAGCACCACACGTATAAGCTATATAAAATTATTTCTGTTGTAATGGTGGGAGGAAGCATGTTTCTGAGGAATTTTGATAAAGGAAAAGGGTGAAAGCAAGAGAACAGAAAGCACTAAGTTCAGGGAACCAAAGTGACATGAATGAAGCACATCAGAAATCCACTGACTTGTTACTGAAGCTGTAGCAGGATGAAGGATTTCTAACCCAAAAGGATTCTTCACTTGTCTCATCCGCTTTTTCAAGACTCTTGTGCTGGATTCTGTTTCTTCTGAGTTTCTCAAAATAACAGGAACACCCAACCCAAACCTATGAGACACGAAACAAGAACAAGTGGGTTAAGTGATAGTGTTGCCACATTTGAGTTTTTCTTCAGCTCCAAATAGCAAGCAGCACAACAAACAGAGGAATGCATGCATAGAACAGCCTGCCAAACTGACTCCAGCTTTTCATGGCAGAAGGCAGGAGTCCTCCCAGTGACCCAGGAAATCTCTAAAGGGGGAATATTTTATTCCTGCATTTCCAGAAAGAGAATAAAATTCATGACAACGGTCAATGCCCTCTAGTGGTAAATGCTTGGCCAGAGCTTTCTCCTAATTGACATTCTTGCACATCTTGTCACAGGACCCCCCAAAAAAATCACTGCTTGCAAAGATGGAACAGGGTGCTCCAAAGGAAGACCTCAGGGCAGATGATTCAGCCCAAGATATTTCTACCTGTAACTACAGTCTCCCATAAAAGCATCTTCCGGGCTAAGATCCAAATTGCCCACAGAGAGGTCAATTACAACACTGTTCTGATATTAAATCAGGGGCCATCAAGCCTCTGCTTGGAGCCAGAAACCAGGTGCAAAACAGCCAAGACTCTGAATCAAAGCTGACACTCCAACACTCCTCAAAGCTGAAACCAGCACACTAGCCCAAGTGATATTCTGACCCTAAAAGGATAAAGAAGAAAAGGTTTAAAAGTTTAAACACCCTATCAGTCAAAATAAAATCAAGGAAGTGAGGAAGAATATTTTGGAATTATTTCCATCATCAATTAAAAACCCTGAGATTTTAATACTGCCTGGGGCTTTTAAAAGAACCATTAGAGAAGATCAGGATGTAGAAAACAAGCTTCACAACAGACTTCCCTTAGCTAAAAATAATGCAGTTTTTAAGGTGATAGCAATAACTTTCAAGAACCAAAAGCTGATTAGGGAAACTGTCCCACATATGCAACCAGGAGACTACTTTGGAGACTGAAGAGATTTTCTTAACTGCATTAATCGAGTCCTGTCTCATTAGTGGGAAAGGCTGTGGGAGTCCTTTGTTAATGCACTTTAGAAAACAGTTATTAATTAGCTCAGGCTGTACTTGCCTGAATTTGTGCTTTGTGGCTGCCACCTGTACTGCTTATGTGATGGCCTGTTTAATAGCTTTGAATTTTGGTTTATGCAGCCATCAGCATATTGGGTGCTGGAAAACTGAATGGCATGAAGCAGCAGCTCTTCCCTGCATCAATTGTTTCCATTTCGTGCACTGAAATAGCAGCTGTTACAGTAAGAGGGGTCCCCTATCAATAACTCAAGCTGAAAAGGCCACTACCAACTTCAATGCCATCAGCCTGAATATTGCTGAAGTAATATTTTTGTAATGCAGCTCTGAGCCAAAGAGGCAATTTTGTGGCTTAGCTGCTACTTTTTCCTGGGTTTAAAATCTTCTCCAACTCCTGCGTGTCAAATGGAGAAGAAATGCAGAGCTTTTACTGACATGAGACTCCTTCCCTGTACAGTCCAAAGTGATTTTTCAAGCTGAGGAAACCACTTCAGAAAAAAATATTCTCAAAGCCATCTTCAATAGCATCAACCTGTTCCTGGCAGCCTAACAAATATTTGCCTTTACCATTTTATGTCTTGTGTGCCTGAGTGTCACAGATACACCAAAGAGGAGAGAGACTGAGCTGGAGGAAAATACACTATGCTCATTAATTATCATTAATCTGATAAATTCCTTTGGTTTGCATGATTGTGATGGAAACATTTGCATTTTTTCTGTGATATATTATATGGAACTCAGCCATACTTAGCTGATGCTCATGGAGGGTCAAAGTAAACACATCCACAGTGACTCCATGAGGGCTGTAACGATGTATGCCAGTCAAACATGTTGCTCACAAAGAAACCAGCTGCAGCAGCTGTTTCTCTTATTCAGTATCCAAAACTCAGTGGAGCTGATCTCTCCAGCCACACAGAAAGATGCCTCCTGTTTTATACCATCTGGCTTATTCTAAAGTAAAAAAGAAAAAAATCAACCTTGTTCTTTGGAAACTTTCTTTGCTGGTTGAAAGAAACAGGATAATCACCATGAAAAGCAGCCAGGGAAAAAAGCCTCTAGTACAGTTTTAGCAGCAGCTGGAGGCATAAAGGCCTTTCTGTTCAACCAGGTACATTGTTTCTGTAAATCTTAAGGCAGTATTTAAAGTAGAAAGGATGAATAAAAATACTGGTTTTATTTTATGATTTCACATTCTATCAGCCTGAAGGGTTTGCTGGTATAGGGGAAAATTAATTCCTTCAGAACAAGGCTAGTTTGAAAAAGGCAGAAGTTTCCAGTGATTTTGTTCATGAGTCAACTTCTTCAAAAAGCAGCCCAGACCTCAAACAGGTGCTGACCCTCCCGCTCCTCCTAACACAAGCATACAGCTCCAGCTCAAAAAAACCCACAAGACCATCTCAGCTGATTTAAATTCCACTTCATCCCTATGGCCAGAGCACCCCATGGGCTGGCTCTAGAAGCACAGCTTCTTATAGTCTGTGCAGTAACCTCCTTATAGTCTCTCTGAGCAGAGGAACAAGTATCCAGGGCTGGCCATAAAACCAGACACTCATCAAATCAGTGCATGATTTTACAAATGAAAACATGAACATTCCTGAGCAGCTGGTGTTGTTCAGGCTGACTGACACCATCATGAACACATCCATAAAACAAGCTGACAATTTATGCCAAAAATGATGGGGGGGGGGGAGAAATAAAATGTCATTACAGGAATATATCAAAGTGTTACATTCTCATATGACATAGGATGCGTTTATAGCAGCCTGTGTAGCAAATAAAAGGATTGAGTTGTTTTCAAGAATAAGTTCAGGAGCACTTTAACTGCAGCTGCAGACACACTGGAGTTACTTGGAGGCTCTTGGCTGTACAGCAGAGTTCAAAGGTAGCAGCAAATACCTCTGAGCAGCTGGCCACACATTCACATGCAAAGCTCCTGCTTCTACCTGACTAAAAGCTCCTTAACAAACTCATCTGAATATGGTTTATACACGTTTACATAAACTGCAATAATATCTAGTGCAGATGCATCTAGAATCTCTGATCCTGAAATAAAAATGCATCTGAGCAGTTCTCTGCATACCCTTCTGCCCAAAAAGGACATGGCTGCAGATGTAAGGATCTTCTGACACAACTATTTCAGGTATTTTACAGCAGGGGATTGGAAAGCAGGAAACCAGGACAACAGATAAATAATTATTAAGTTGATAAATGATCACTGGTTTGGCATATATTTATTTGAATAATAATTCAGTATCATTTCCCTGTAAAGATAATATATTTAAAGAATTGATGAAGCAAAAAAGGAAAAGTGGAGAGAACTGGGTGGCAATAGTGTGCAAGAGGACAGAGAGAATTATGGAAAGATTTCTACTACCTCTCTCTCCCTCCAAGGAAATAATGAGGTGGAGCTTCATCAGTAGAAGGATAACAAAAAGACCAGCCTTGGCTTCACTACCACCCACCCAGCACTAGGGGAGGCAATGCAAAACAACAAAACCTTTCCACCAAGCATATCTGTAAGATCAAAAGATGTTTCAATCACATTGAAAGCAATAGATGGCACATGTCTGAGCCAGCAGCAGCTAACAAAATGATATAAACAGGGGAATGACTTTGCACTAAAGGAAAAGTCAAGCAGAGTATTTATAAGCTGCCAAGAGAACAAACAGCTACAGCTGAAACACCTGTAATTCAGAGAGAGACAAAAGGGGGAAAACACCAAAGCACAGCACTACAAATATTAATGTTAATTCAGTGAGAGGAAAGGCAGTAACTCAATTTTACTCTGTTCAAAAGCAACACTAGTGTATCCACATTTCCAACATAAAACATTTTTATTGCTAATCAATGCTCTCTGCTTGCAAGTATCAGTATTTACATTTAGAGACATTCCTGAGTCAACAGGAAAACAGAGAGACCAGTGCTATGGACAGACATTGAGGGCCTTGGTTCTGAAAAAGGCAACAGTGAGATCTCTGTTGAAGCCTCTCAAACACAAGTAGGAGAGGGTCTTCCACTCATCACCCCTCTTGGCACTTTATGAGATCGATTGTTTCAGGCTTCTCCCCAGCCCAGTCCCAGATTTGGTTGCTCTGAAACACTCCCTTCTCCTCCGAGCTTCATCAGTGCAACAGACTGGTGCCTCATCAGCAGTCCTGAGCAGACCTCAGTAACTACCCAGCCTTAAAGCCTGGCAGTTTTAGCTGCTACCCAGCCTAACACCTTAGTAACTGCTCGCTTTATCTACCTGCACGATCTGAGATGCCCATCTGTAACAGTGCCAAACTGCTCTCCCTTGGAGGAGCCCTCCCTGACCTCACTCCCTCACTCTAGGTCAGGTCCTCTCCCCACACCCCCATCCCCACTGCCAGCCCGGGCGCTGTCCCACCCCAGGGCCACACCACAAGCCCGGGGCTCACTCCCCACGGAGTGCCAGTTCCCATTACCCCTCTCCCACGACACGACACCTCACGACACCGCCAGACCCCTACAAACAAGGCCCCAGACCGGCCTCCAGGGGCACGGATGTCCCTCCAGGGGCAGGGATGTCCCTCCAGGGGCAGGGATGTCCCTCCAGGGACGGGACCGGCCGCCCCCGCACTCACCAGCCCAGCACCAGGCCGCTGGTGACGAGGAAGCAGACGAACACCACGGTGATGTAGAAGAGCGGCGAGTACTCGTAGAGCG